GAATAGCTGATAGTTTTGAATAGTTGACCTTGAGGTTTAACAACCCAACTCACAAGCACTACACTACCAGAGTTGCTGTTGCTGTAAAGTGCCATCGAGTTGGTTCTGACCCATAGTGACCCTGTATAGGGTTTCCAAGGAATGTCTGGTGAGCTTGAACCACCGACCTTGTCGGTTCAAACCGACTTTGCAGTCCAGAGCATTAACCCACAGTACCACACCAGGAGTCCAGCTACCAGAGTAGTACCTGATAATAAGAGCAAAGCATAGAAAACTCCATTTGTCAGAAGTCAAATGTATTGCAGCTTTCACAGACAACTTCGAAGGAACCTTCTTCATGCCTCTGGAATATTGTTCCCATTCTTCCTTCCAAATTTGCAACTCCATGTTCCTAAACCTAATTTCTCCTGGCTGGTAGCCTGAGCCAAAGGTCTCTGGATGTCACAAAAGATTTGCACTCAGGATAAGCGTTGGACCAAAAGGTCGATTCAAACTCACCAGCTGCTCCTTGGAAACCCTATACAGAGTTGCTATGAGTTGGAACCGACTCAACATCACTTAACAACAACAACAACTAGCCTACAGATTAGTTGTTTGAAACTACCCAGTAGCACCATGAAAGAAAGGACTGATGATCTGCTTCCATAAAGATTACAACCAAGAAAACTCCATGGAGGGGTTCTGCACTGCAACATAGGAGCTCGCCATGAGTCAGAGTTGATTGACAGCAATGGGCGGTAGTAATAACAGTGACCTGACCCACCAGCAGAAAACATCAGCTTCAAGTGTTCCCAGACTAAATGGCCTTTTTCAAGGAAAGGCTATCAAAGACTCAGCTACAATTCTTTCCATGGAAAAGAAGACTCTGTCCAACCACCAGCTGCCATGGCAAATGCCCCGTCCCTGCTTGGTCTCTGTGATGGCCCCAGCTGCCAAGGTCTTGGTGAGTCACCTGCAAGCAGGTGTCAGACACACGCATCTTTTAATTATCCAATCCCTTGAAATATGGCAAAATGCAAATGCCTGAGGGGATACTCACTGTAGAGAAGAATGCAGAACGAAACCATGGATTAAAAAGAGAAATCATCTTGTAGTGGGAACAAGCATCCCAATTTATCTATTTTATGTATTTAGGGTTTTGTGGATTCTATGGTCTTAGATAGAAACACAGATTGTTACTCTCCACTGTGAAATAAAAGAAGGGCTGGGTAAAGACAGTGATTGAGGTTTTCCTTATATACATGAAAAGCACATTCTTTTAAAAGTCTTCCACAGTTGTACTCACAGAAGGTGAGAATAAGATGTGAATGGACTGTTGCTAAGGGTGAACGAGCGGTCACTGATCAGAGAAGGGATAAAAGGGAGCCCCTGACCTTATTCTACAGTGTGTGTGCGTGCACTCGTATTGTGTGTGAATGTATGGTTGCATGTGTTTTTATGTGCATGTGTGTGGCACTTTGGGTTAATGTGCTGGACTGCAAGGTTGGTTTAAACCATAAGGCCAGCAGTTCAAGCTCACCAACCACTCCTTAGAAACCCTATACAGGCGCTCTAGGATTTGGAACTGACTCGACAGCACTTAACAACAATATATGAATTTCTATGTACGTGTGTGAATGTGTTTGTATATGTGTGTGAGGGTGAGTGTGCGTGAATTTGTGTGCCTCAATGTGTTTGTATGCATGTGTCTTTATTGACATATAATGAGTGAACATGTGTGTACAAGTGGGTGTATAGAGAGAATATTGTATGTGTTTGCATATGTGTGTGAAGATATATGCTTGTGTATAATATGTGTGTGAGTGTCTATGTGCTTGTGCACATAAATGCATATGCTTCTGTGTGAATTCATGTATATTTGTATACTTGTATGAATGTGTGTGTATCTGGGAGGAGAGAAGAAAAGGCCTTAAGAATACATCAATTCCTAGTGGAGGTTGACCTGGATGTTTGGAAATCGCCTATTGAGACCCCTGGTCTCTAAAAGTCCTTCCTTAGGTTAAATTTTGTTAGTTTGTCCCAGTTTCTAGATGGTACCCAGAAACAAGAGCCTCAAGAAAGAGATGAGTTCACAGAGTGACCCTATTTGTATTCTGTGTGATATGCTTTGAAAAGGCGATACACTTTATTTAGAAACTGTGATAAAAGTTTCAAGCCCGCAAAACAGTCTGGAATAATCCCCACTTCCCCATATACCACATGTAAACTTTTATTGCCAATGTGCTGCAGGAGCCTAGAAGGAAGGGCTGGGGGCAGGGCTTGGAGTGGGGGAGGAGAAGGCTGTTAGGCAGCAGCAGTTTTTAAATAAAATAATAAAAATCCATTAAAGATAGAATAGCCTGTAGGACCTCTGTGTCAGCCACCTGGACAAGGACAAGTCACCCAAGTCTTTTCCAGCCTCTTTAAGGTTCCGTTAACATGCCTTTGTGGTCCCCAACTCAAATACAGTTAATCTCTAATTCAAACACAGTTCATCTCTGGCCCAAATTTGCTCTCAGAATTTTAAAGGACACCCATTTCTGCTCATTTTATTTCTTGAAACCTAAGTGAAAAGTAGAAAAAAGAAACTTGTTCCATTTAAACATTTTTATAACTTTTTTAATTTTTAAGGCATCGTGTTGATATAGATCATTTAAACATCTACAAATACAATTCATTTACCACATTGAAATGTAACATTACAACACTTAGATTTTAAAATCGGACTCCTAAAAAGGTGTGAAACAACATGATCAATGATGACATGTGCTAGACTCGATCTCCAAAAATGTGTAGGTAGCAAAGCTGACTACATGATCTACTGTCCTATATGTTGTGGTTGTTGTTGTTAAGTGTGCCATCAAGTCAGCTCCAACCCATAGTGACCCTTTTTATAGTTTCCGAGGAGCATAAGACCTCAGTGTCCCTTAAAATGGAAATGAAAGTAGCCAACATAGTTTGGATTTTGTGTATCTCTTTCAATGTGTGTCGCCAAATCTCAGGATATTTATGCTTAATGCACTTTACTTTATTCCAAGTGAATCCTTCATAGAGCTAAAATATACATGAGATTTTTAGCTTTGTACCATCAGTCACACTCTCCACCCAACCCAACAAGAAGGAGTTTCTGTAGAATGTGTATCAAAGGAACGCCATCTGATTGATAATGCTTAAATCCTATACACTCTGATGACTATCTAAACAGCCTCACACTGGTCTTCCAAGCCTTGAGTCAAAACCCAGCAACCCAGCCCACACACAAACCAGTTGACAAGAGGTTGGTGACAGGGATGGTAGGGTAAGCCACAGATAAACCAGAAACCCTTTTGCAGAAGTTTCCACTTCCTCCCTTACTTGACCATTTACCAGAACTGCCCATGACTTTATTTCCCTGGGTTTTCCCGGCTTGACCTCTAAATGAGATGAGAAAGGGAGAAGAAGCAACAAGGACCAAGCTAGCCCCATCTCACATCATCCCCTGAAAAACTTGTGTGACGTGCAGTTCTACTCTGAAACACTTGGGGTCACCATGAGTCTGAATTGACTCCACAGCAACTTTTTTTGGGGGGTGGGGCTGGAAGGGTGAGGGGGAGTAGCGGCATGAAGCAGGGCTTAGAGAGAGCAGCCATTAGAAGATATCATGGTGTGCTTAATTCACATTTTGATACAAGGCAGGGAGATCCTCCAACTTGCAGATTGTATTAAGATTATCTTGAAAGCATGATTTCCATGAGTGGGAAGCAAGAATCCTGGAAAAAAAGACCCTGGTAGGCAGACCCCTCTCCATTTTTCCTCTCCTGGAACCCAAGGCTTCAGGCATCATGGAGACAGAGACAGTGAAGGGCAGGGTCCACAGCTTCTGGTTCCAGCTCCAGGTGGTCTCTCTGGTCCACAGACTCTACAATCCTCCACTTCCCGAAGCCTGAGCACAGCATCTTCTCTAGTTCTGGAATCTTTTTTGTTTGTTTTGGGTACTCTATGAATAGCTGGTAAGGAGCTCTGGTAGTGTACTGGTTACGAGTCAGGCTGCTAACCCCAGGGTCAGCAAGAGAAAGATGAAGCTTTCTGCTCCTGTAAAGATTCACAGCCTCAGAAACTCATAGGATCGCTATGAGTCAGAACCAACTCCACGGCACATAACCACCACCACTACCACCACCATGAATAGCTGGTAAAGTAGAGGGTTGAGGAAGGCAAGGGAGGCCCTTGGTGAAATGGATTCATGTAGTTGCTAAAACAATGGGAGCAAACAGATGGTACAGGACTGAGTAATATTTGGCTCTGCCATACATATGTCACCATGAGCTGGAACTGACTTGATGGGAACTAACAACAACAACAACTGAATGATGACTGCCAAGAGTGCTTCTCACCAGTCATTTAAAATAGAATAGCATGACCCCATACAGAAATTAAAAACCTGTGTGTGTGAGAGAGAAAAATACTGAAGATCTTAAGGATGCTCACTAACAAATAATCAGGCATTATTTAATGGAATGAAATTTTAAGTGATCTCTTTCACTTCCTTCTTTATACTTTCCTATATTATATTAAAATACTACAATAAGGATTATAATTTTGTAATTACAAAACCAGTAAGGTATTTTTTGTTTTTTTTCAATTGGAAAAAAATTTTAAATAATATTTTAGAGAAGAAAAGCCAGCTAAGTATGATTATGAAAACTCATTACCACAGACAGAACAGTAAAAAAAAAAAATGAAGGAGGGATTGAACCCAAACCTAATTTTCTTTGAAACTTAGACTGCAAAACACAGGTCCTAAGCATCATAGAGTAAAATGTCATTGGTGTCAGAGACACAAGTTAGCATAACAAGGAAAACTGGGTCTGTATAGTAGTATGGTATGTATTCAGATGCACAAATAAAAGACTATGTATCATTTGGTATCACTCCATAAGCATGTTTTCCAAAGAGTGGTCACTGGGATGAAATACATAGAATATACTATTTCTGTAGCCTGGCTCACTCAACTGTGACACAAAACCCTAAACAGACCAGCTTCACTTCATTCTTTTTGCAACATCTGAATATGCGTGTACAATCTCCTGGTCGGCTGGACACGTGTTTGTGAACTCATCTCTAGCGTAGGCATTGTTCAAGTATCTCCAGAGGCCTGTCATTTCAGGAGGAAATTCAAAATCTCTATATCTCTTGGCCACGATCTGAAAATGAAGAGGAAAAAATCAAGAAAGGGAAAAGCCATTCACAGAGCCAGCCAAATCAGACAACCCATTCACTTGAGGTGTGTAACATATTCTCTTTTTCAATCCCAAATGTCATCTTACAGTCCTTAAGGCAACTCTAGTACATATTTTATTCAGCTGCATCTTGGGAACTGGAAAGATTATAAAGCTATGGGGCTTAACACAGTGGTTGTGCACCAACTTTCTCTTCCAATTTATCACAGCCAACCTTTCTGATCCACTAGCATGAACTCACTCCATACTTAGGTTTAATTCTCTGTGTGTTTGCTACATGTGTTCTTCTACTACGTTATTTGGTAATAAAGATTCGATGTGGATCTTCAGTTTGATTGTGCCAGAATCACTGGAAAGTACCATCTCTTTTTCTTACTTGCTAAGTCCATTTGGATTCTTGTGTGATGCTGTAGGATAAGGTCAGTGGTTCAATGGTTCAAACCCATCAACCATTTCTCGGAAACCCTATGCAGGATTGCTGTGAGTTGGAACCAACTCGACAGCACTTCACAACAACAGGCCAACCTGGTGGGCATGAAGGCTAAATGTACTTTAAAATGTGCTCTGATCCAACACCATGAAATCCCATTTACCACACCAAACAAACAACATAAACACAGTTTTCATTGCGTCAACTCCAACTCATATAGTGACCCCATGCTCAGAGCAGAACTGCATTCCATATGGTTTTCAACAGCTATGATCTTTCAGAAACAGATCACCAAGCTTTTCTTCTGAAGTGCCCCTAGTTAGATTCAAACCATCAAACTTAATGTTAATAGTGGAACACTTAATCATTTGCGCCTCCCGGCGACTCCTAACTACTCTACATTGTGCATCAGTCCTACAGATTTCCACCATAAATCACATCATCCAACTATGGGCCTATTGTGTGCAGGGGATAGATTCATAAACATAAAAGGCAAATACAAGTGGATGTAAGGATAGGTCACAAGAGATAAAACAATGTGGCATCTGTTTTCTTTGGCCAGGAAGGGTACAGTTGGGGAATTAGTCACAGAAACTGCTATCAACACAGCAGACACCTGATTGGGACCCAGCATTACAAAGATCAATTCTCTTTGTTCTTTCTATTATAATGGTCCCTGGGATGTCAGAACAAAGTGAGCATTGGATTTACTGTACAAAATCTATGGGGTAGATTTTTGTTCAGTAAATTCCATCCAGCATCTTTTGAGGTGGGAAATTTCCACTTTAAAAGACAAGCAGACCAACCTGGAGCAGCTAGAGGAACAGAAGATACTTCTTGAAAGAAAGACCAGCAGGAAAAATCAAAAACAATAACGGCAGTCAGATTGACTACTACAAGAACAAGCAATCAAGACAAGCAATCAAGCCCTCTCAGGGCAAACCCCCTTCCAAGACTGAAACTCAAAGGAAATACACGAGCAGTCATGTAATCTTGCTGGTGACCATGTTGGTCTACCAATAAGAGGAAGTGGTCTACCAATAAGGGGAAAAACAGCAATGAAGCTGTGAGCTAAGTCCGGCCACATTCAATAGACTCTTGTTAACCTGGATTGTGACCTGGGTGGCCAGCAGTATAGCGAGACCTGGGGACTCCTGAGCCCATGGACAGGACACAGTCACAGAGGACTAGAGCGGAGAGTGAAGCTGATGTGAAGTGAAGGAAGATGAACAAGAATGCCCATACTTGCAGATAGTACCCATTTGACCTACCTTCAATGGCTAAATGATCAGAACTCAACTAGAGGAAGAAAGAAGAGGAAAAAAAGTGTAATCCACTACAATTTGATGAACTTGACCTACACTTATGGATGTAGTAGTTAAAAGAGAGAATGAATCTTTACAGTGAGGATCATTCCCACCCCTTCTATATACTGGATTGACAGGGGTGGGCAAATTAGACATTGGCTAGCCAAAATGGGGGTGGGGGTGCAACAAAGGCACAAAGTGACTGGCTTACAAGTTTTCAAGAGGGAACTTAGTTTCAGAGGGTGTGGGGGAAGGTAGAATCTCCACTGAGTGGTTTCCAAGCTGTCTAGATGGGACTGGTGAAAGGAGATAGGGATAAGACTCTTGTGGTTCAATAGTGAATTATTACTATCAGGACTAATTGTGAATGTTGCAAATGTAAAGGTGGATGTTTTGTAACAAAAGAAGGGGAGTGGTTGGTCTTGCAGTCCAGGAGCTGAGGGCCCTGGGATTATCAAGGAAGAGCAGAGTGCAGTATCCTATCCAGAGAAGTAGAATGCCAGAGATGGAGGCAGAGACAATGACGGGGAGAAACGGAGTGGCTGGGGACTCTAGACTCAAAGAGGGAGAGAGGCTGTGTGCCGGCTGCTGGGGGACTGGTGTGCAGGGTACACCCTTTGGTTGTTTGAATGGTTATATATTCCTGAGTGCTTCGGTGTATATAAAAAACAAAACAAAACAAAACTACAGAGGGATTGGAAGCAAATGCTGTTGAATGATGATGCATGGAGGGAATTGAAATCATTGCAATGAAATGAAGTACGATAGAATGAATGTAAAGCTGATGCGCTCCCATTCACAGTAAGATATATATATATATATATATGATCTATGGGGCTTATTCTACCATTTATCTGTAAGTTTCTCATACTGTGGTGGCTTGTGTATTGCTATGATGATAGAAGCTCTGCTACCAGCATTTCAGATACCAGCAGGGTCACCCATGGTGGACAGGTTTCAGAGGAGCTTCCAGACTAAGACAGGCTAGGAGGAAGGATCTGGCTATTTACGTTAAAAAAAAAAAAAAAAGAGGCCAGTGAAAAGTTTATTTTCAAATAGCAATCAAATATTGTTTGATATAGTGCTGGAGTATGAGCCCTTCAAGTTGGAAGGCACTCAAAATAAAACTGGGAAAGAGCTGCACCCTCAAAGAGTTGACCTTTGATGTGCATGGAGTAAAACCTTCAAAACCTGTATTCGCTGATGTGGCATGACTCAACATGAGAAGAAACAGCTGCAAACATCCACTAATAATCAGAATGACAGATGTATAAAGATGAATCTAGGAAAAACTGCAAGGTATCAAAAATGACATAGAACCCATAAAGATCGATGTCTTAGGTATGAGTAAGTTGAAATGGACTGGTTGGTATTGATCATTCTGAAATAGGCAATCATATTGGATACCTTGTGGGGAATGCCAAGTTGAAGAGGAATGACATCACACTCATCATCAAAAGAACATTTCAGGATCTATCCTGAAGTATAACTCTGTCAATAATAGGATTATATTCAGATGCCTACGAAGAAGACCAAGTCATACAATTATTACTCAAATTTACACATCAACCACTAATGTCAAGGATAAAGACATTTAACCTGTTTACCAATGACTGCAGTCTTAAATTGATCAAATATGCAATCAAGCTACATTGATAATTACTGTTGATTAGAATGTGGACAACAACAAGAATGTAGAAGTTGGAAACAAAGAAGGAGTGTTGTTATTGTTGTTAGATGTCATTGATTTGGTTCCAACTCATTGTGACCATATGAACAACCGAACAAAACACCATCTGGTCTATACAAAACAATAGAGGTAGACCGACTGTTACTACAAGAACAAACAAGTTGCTTGCCCAGGAAACATCAATACAAGTGGTCGGGTCCCCTCAGTGCAAACCCCCTTCCAAGACTAAGACTCAATGGGAATACGCGCTCTGATTGGTGACCACGCTCGTCACTGATAAGGGGAAGTGAGAAAAACAGCAATGAAGCTGTGAGCTAAGCCATACAATGTTCAGTAGACTTCTGTGAACCTGGGTGAAGACCTGGTTGGCCAGCAGTGTGGCAAGACCTGGGGACTCTTGGGCCCAGAGTCAATGACATAGCCACAGAGG